CAGGAGAAGAGCGGTGATTGAAGTTCAGACCCTCATCACGTACATCGACTTGAAGGAAGCCCTCGAGAAAAGAAAGCTGTTTGTGTGTGAGGAGCACCCGTCACACAGAGCGGTCTGGAACGTCCTGGGAAACTTGTCAGACATCCAGGGGGAAGTCCTCTCGTTTGATGGCAGTCGAAATGATAAGAACTACATCCGGCTGGAAGAGCTGCTCACCAAGCAGCTGCTTGCCCTGGACGCCGTTGACCCACAGGGAGAGGAGAAGTGTAAGGCTGCCCGGAAACAGGCAGTGAAGCTTGCACAGAATATTCTCGGCTATCTCGACTTGAAATCCGATGAATGGGAGTACTAAAACGCCAGAGAGCCCACGGTGGATCGTTCTTATTCTGCACTTTATATATATGTCTGTGTATTTACAGAGAGCTTTCAGTTTGTTGAGCCTGAATGTGATTTATACATGCATATGTCAATCTCAGTATTTATGATTTAAGCAAATTCAGTATCTCTGCTGCGTTTGATATTGAAAAACAAATATTACGACATACTAACTTTTCCATTTGGATCACTGTGTTGTGGTGTGGTTTTCTGTTGTTTGTTTTTTTTTTTAAATCAGAAAATGGAATAGGGGCAGCTTTTAAAACAGTTTTAATAGGTTGTTCAAGCATTAAAATGCAGATATTTCAGAATCTAGAATAGACATAACCTTACATAATAAATACCAGGACAGTTATGAGGAAGGGGGAAATTTTTGGTTAAATAGAAGTAAGGTCCAAGCACAAACACAGTGCAATGAAATGTTTTATTATGCTAAATAAAGCAGAAGGATTTTTTTCATTTATAAAACCCAATTGGTTCCCCCCAGTTTAATAGGGTGGGAGTCTTTTTGTTTTTTTGGATGGTGGGTTTTTCCATAAACATTTTTTGTTTGAAATACAGTGCATTTTCTCCTGTACTCTGCATTTAGAGGGGGAGTCTTATTTTTGTGTATGACATAATAAAATTATGAAAATGAAGAGCAAAAACACCTTTGAGACTGTGTTGAAGAAGGGATAAAACACCAGCTGATACCTTCAAGTTGTTTTTGTTTGTAAAATCTAAACTTAAAATTTCCCTTAGAAATTACTAAGGATGGGAACATTTAAATGAAGTTAATGGACCTTGAGAAAAAAAAAAGGAAACACCCACACCCATAGTAAGATAATGAAAAGAAGTGGAAATTACCAATTATCAGGTTATGCTAAAATAAGCAAAAATGTCTGCATGTAGCACGTAATGGGCTCCTTCTGTCGTTCAAGGCGGCATAAGGGACAAACTTGTTAAACATTCCCAATGCTGTTTTACAGTGTATGAGAGCAGAAACTGTCAGCAGCCCTGTAGGACCAGCTCTCTGAAGCTTGTTCAGAGGAAGCGAGCGTCAGCTCCCTGCACCTGCAGACATTGCACTCCGGGCACCTGCTGCATTCCTTAGCTCATGTTATTGGCACATGGATGCTTCTCTAGTGCCTGAAAGGGCCAGTAAAGTCTATCAATCAGTGCAGGAAATTTTTTTCTTCTGCTAAAGGGTATACGTATTTCTGTACATACTTTTTGAGGATCCAAGATTACCAGTTGCCTGTTAATGTGAACAAAAGAATTTCCCAGAGTTCTGAAGTGCCTTGATAACTTGCTGCCCCAGTATTATAACTAACAGACTACTCTGTAGTCAGCTCTCACAAAATAATTGTATTAGAGTACATCTTTTGAGCTCTATAGTAATTTGTTATTTTCTTTCAGAGGTATTAATTTGACAACTTTGGAAACAGCTAAAAATAAGATGGATAAAGGAATAGCCCTAAATACCTAAAAGGTTATAAACGTGTAGCCCTAAAAAATTTTCATTTTGTCTCAGTACTGCCCAATAATTAAAAGCCCTTGATATTGTCTTTCCTACTAGAAATGTTACAGATTCATCGGACAGTGGGGTCAAAGGGCAGTCAGAGGTCTCTTGGCCGTGAGCCTTCCACCTGCACGTCCAGCGGGCTTTCAGTGCAGCTTATTGGTAGCTCATGCCGACCAAAGTCGTTTCAGGATTGCTATTCTGCATCATAATTTTAGGGTGCTCTTAAAATCTTGAGGAGTTTTTAAGTTCGAGCACTGTTGGCGCTATATCACTGGGCAATCAAGGCTATACTCTCACTCACTTCAGACGTACACACATCCTGCACCAGGCCCCACTGCTTCACGTTAATTTCAGATTTGAAAGTTAAATGTTAGCCTGTCCTTGCAGAGTATCCATTGTTGTTTGAAAGCAGTTCTTCCTCTAGCATTCATTTCCAGCAGTGTTTTCCCTAACTCGCAGAGATGGCTCAAACTGTTAATCTTTGCGCATCGGGGGCGAGCATAGGATAGTGAGCCCATCCACGGTCACGTTGGATTTCTCACGGGGATTATTTTGGTCGTTGAAATAATCAAATCAGCCTTGAGTGCTGAGGAGTGACGCTCCTTGTCTTCAGTCTGTTCTAGTTCCTTGTACCTGATGATTCGGTTCCCATAATGAGCCCTAGCGATACTGGCTTTAGCTGCTACTGTCCCTCGTTGGGAGGCGTGTGTGTTAATGTGGCCTGCTGCATGTATTTGGGGTTCATCACTTTGTATTGTATTTTTATGATCTTACTTGAAGAGAATCTGTACTGGAAGTAAAACCTACCCCCTAAAAATGTTTGGCCTTGGGTCTGCATTAAACTGTATAATCCATGTTCATGAAAAATTGGCTGGGAATGTTTGCTTTCTTTACCTTCCATTCAGTCAGCATTGCTTTCAGGTCATTCTTTATCCAAACAGATTAATCAGCCTACTGTGAAGTCGTTAAGAAAATAAATATAATGACTATGTCTACTAGATACAGTTTAATGCTTTATTTTGCTAAACTGCCTGGGTATCATATATTTGACATAATTTAGTATATTTGAAAAGTTTAACCAGTTTTTCTCATGTGTTTTACTTGGCTAGTTTTTAATCTGGTTTTGGAGGATCTAAGCTTATCCTGTTCACACAGGTTTTTTTAAGCAAAGCTTTTTAGCTTTTAACTCGTGCAGTGTTTTTCTCAAGAATAGTTGGAGAACAATTTGCCACACTGATTTTGATGTATAATTCAGGTGTGTCATTCCAGTGTGCTGGTTCTCGTCCCTGCCCCATGAACTGTGTGACTACTGTAATACCGTGTCTTAAATAATTCAGTATTATTTTGAGATAGACATACTAGTATACCCTTAATTATTGATGAAATAAAAAAATCTCTTAGCTTCTCTTTGCGGTGGAGAAAGGACGTGAGTCTGAGGTGTGAGTCCTGTCGTCATGTTTTCACCTTTGGGTACTGTCTGACTTGGGTGCCCCTGAGCACGCCAGGCCCGGGGGAGGGTTCCTTGGCTCCAGTCAGGGGCAGCGATGTAAGGGGGCCGCAGCGCAGAGCACAGACGGGGAGCCAGTGGCGGGTGAAGGGGTAACTGTGCCCCCGTAAACAACCCAGGAAGTGAGGGGGGGCCGGGGAACCTGGAGCAGATGTGGCCTCACGTGCTGCTTCCCTGGGGAGGGTGCCCGCGGGCCAAGCGCACAGGAGCTGCCCTTACTCGCAGGAGGGGAAACTCGAGGCGTTCTGGAAAGGTCCTCTCCCCAGAGGAAAGGTTTGAGGTAAGGTGTTGTGCTGTTGAAGCTCATCTTAACGGAGATGTTTTTCTGGCCACTTGAGAGTCTCGTGCTCTGCCACCTGAGCTAGCTGGGCGGCCGTGTATCTCTGACCATCTAGTCCTTCCAGCATTCCCAAAATGCTCTGCTCTGCCTCGGGCTCCCTCAGCCACCTTGCAGCTCACCCTCGTTTTGGCAGTTGTCTGTCACAAACCCATTACAGCCCATTACCTGGTGGCAGCAACTGGTTTTGCCTTTTCCCCGCCTCCTCCTACAGGCCCTCTTCTGTCTTCTCTGCCTGCGTGTTCCGGTGATCCAAGTGGAGAAACAGCGCAGCCAGCCCCGCCGTGCAGGTGTGTGATGCGTAATAGGCCAGCCGCCAGGAGAAACAAATCGTACAGGTTAAAAAGACGGGAAATTTGACATTTTTAATTCTCTGCCACCCAACAAGGTGCGCTCTGCCCCGTTAGGCTTGGGTTATTTACGCACATTAGAAACTGTTCTCAGGACTTCCCTGGTGGCGCAGTGGTTAAGAATCCACCTGCCAATGCTGGGGACACGGGTTTGAGCCCTGGTCCGCGAAGGTCCCACATGCCGTGGAGCAACTAAGCCCGTGCGCCACAACTACTGAAGCCCACGCACCTAGAGCCCGTGCTCTGCAACAAGAGAAGCCAATGCAATGAGAAGCCCATGCACCACAAGGAAGAGTAGCCCCCGCTCACTGTAACTAGAGAAAGCCTGCGCACAGCAACAAAAACCTAATGCGGCCAAGAATCAATAAATAAAATTTTTTTAAAAAACTGTTCTCAAGCTCTTGCTGTGTGCTCGGTGCTCAGGTTGGGAAATGTCCATCCTATTGTGTCTCAACCAGCGTGGAGGTGGTAAAGGACACGCTTGTCCCGCATCCGTCTTGGGCATAAACTCCAGGATGTCAGGAGAGCAGGGCAGGTCCTCCGTGAGCGCTGGAGAGAGACCGTGAGTGCCATGGGCCAGGGAGGCTGAGGGACAGGGCTCAGGGACCCCCCGAGGCTGGTCAGGAACAAGACAGGAGAAACCCCAGCGCAGGGCAGCGATGTCGCACAGGGGCTGAGCAGCACAGCACTGGCAAACTTGGTTCTTACTTCCAGGGCGCAGAAGCGCTAACTGGAGGGCGAGCGAGGCCCGCCTCAGGGCCCGGATGCAGGTCAGCGGGTGCCCGGCTGTCAGAGTGTGTCTGATGCGGG